ACGGAAAATACGAGTGGAAAAAGTGAGAGAAACTGCGAGCTCGTGTGGTGGAAAAGGGCAAAGGGAACGAGAACTATGATGGATGAGCATGGGCGACACGGATAACTCGCCTCGACGCGACAATGGAAACAAATTATTAATTGTTTACTTAGCAACACTATCTCCGGTTAATTACCTTGAACTTGCTTCGGTTTTTCATCAGGGCTATTGGATTTTTATTGCACCTTCTAAGGGAATGATTTTTAATTCCTTAAAAAAAGAGATGTATCTTCCATTTTGAAGTAGAATACAAGGATAACTCGTGAACAAAAGCGTCATATGAATTTCTGATTGTCCTCGGGGGATAGAAAAGAGGGATGCTCGTACAGCAGAGAATTTTTCCGCGAGGCGTATGCAAATCGGCCGCAAAGTGAGACAAACCGCGATTGCCAGGCTCAATAATAATTTCATGGAAACGTTCCAGGGTAGGGAACAACGACGTCGTATCTAGGAATCGTCCATATTTTCGTTTGCACGAGCGAACGGTGGTGAATATGATTCTTGGTGTGGTTTTTGTTCCTTCTAGTCAGTCGTAAAATCAGAATAGGTGTATGGATCCCGTGAAGGGAGTTGTGCTCATAAAAAACGAGGACGCGAGTCGTTTTCTTCTTTGATGAATAAATGAAACCTTTGTCTTAAATGGTGCCTTACTCTCTCGAGGCAGAATCTTTCTCTAGATGGTTGATTTTGAACGTTCCTCGCTCGCTTTCGTTCGGTCTCTCGCCTTTGATCGTGTTAATGCGAGCAACTGTGGCTACGCTTTCGCTAAATTTCACCAGTTACATCGGGGTTTCTAGGATCGCCATGAATCATAGTTTCACAGTACTATAAGCGAACTGGTATATTACAGAGACTTTGCATTTTAGAATTTTTACATTTTAAAATTTTCTCTCGTTAAACCCAGCATCGTTAATTAATTGTCTCACGCTTCTTAATTTATTCTGAATCGAAACGAAATCTGCGAGCGAAGGTTCGATGTGCTAGAATCGAGGAGAAGAGAGGGTAGACGGAATCGGAAAGGAAGAAGAGGGGTGGAAAGCACCCCAAACTTTTATAGCGGCCCATTTGGCGCAACAACGAGCGTGGAAACTTCTTTTAGTGTCGGGCCACAGATTCCCGGCCGAAATATGCGTACGATTATGGGGTTCCGGATTATCAATTTGTTATACCGTGTTTATTATTTGAGCACGCTTCGTCCGCTTCGTAACACGCTCGTGCGGATGCAAAACGCATGTTTCACCCCGTTTGTCGCGCCGGGGGTGGAGATAATGTGGAATGCGTAATGTTGTACTCTCTTCTTCCAGATGCTTGCCAAGAAACGAGGGTCAGAATCGCTGAGAAACGTAATCTTTTCGCGATACTTCAAACTTGTTATGTTTGCATCATACAGTTTGATGTTCCTCGTTTTCATTTTCTTTCTTTTTTAAATATTTCTTATTCCATCGATGTAGAATAATTTAAATAAATGTCGAGACACATATTTTTTTCGAAACCGTTCTCAACGAAACGCGTTCTTTTCTCGAACGTGTACTTTATCCCGAGTTAAATACGTTTCCCGACGATATCATAGTCTTAAGGACACCCCTTCGCTTCTCTATCTTTCTTTCCTTTTCCACCCTTCCTGTCGACGAGCAAACGAAGCGGCTTCTAAGGAGCTCGGTAGCTGGGATTTCCTAGGAGAGTTATCTCTAATTCGCCGCGGATTTACTTGCCAATGAATCTTTAAATTAGATGCTCTTTTCGTTGCCAACCGTGTCTTCTTTCAAGGGTAGACTCCTAATCGTTCAATCACCTTTATCAAGAAATCGACGGGAATCTCGTTTGGCTTCGTTCAGAGATCTTTGGTTGGTTACCATTTCTATTGCTCTATCTTTCAGATTTTCTCACAAGCAAAAGGTATTTTAGTTTTATTCCGATGTTCGTATGTATAATTGAAGATAGCTCTTTTTGGCAAATCGTAACTATCGTTACCAGAAACACCCTCTATAAACGATTCCATCATTCCACAAAACGTCCTGGAACCATTCATCTTTCCTTCGAGGATTCATGCGAAAATTTCAATTAGCAGGGTGTCCCAAACTCCCCGGAAAATTTCCGTGTAAGACGTGACACGTCTTCTCGCGGCAACCCCTTCTGTTCGCGATATCTCGGGCATTAAATTCGAATCTGTAACATCGACGTGTCCTCTCGGCAGCCGTTGTGTTTCCAGTCGTAGCACGACCGGGACCGGGATCGGGAGCGTGGGTTGGGGCGACGTTTGATTAGACGAGTTACAATTTGGCAAGGAACAGGGCGCGAGAGGAAGGGATCGTAGAACGGTAACCGATGGTTTGCTGGGTAATTCTTGCCGGATCTAGCAAAAAAAGCCACCAATCCAGGAGTGTTTTTCACGATGGCTTGTTCGAGGCGTCTCATCAGTCACGTCGCCAGCTAGCAAAGCGGAGGCGCCAGCCCGGAAGACTCCAACGAAACGCCGATGTGTCAATTAATCCCTGCATCCCTTGGGATAGGACTGGGCTAGAGGCTGGATTATCATTATCCTCCTTGCTATCTCCTTGCTGCCCTGCTTACACCCTCCTCACGGAAACGTGTTATCTTTTGCACCCCTACGACACTTGCTTGTTTCCACCCGTTTCATCCCCTTCTTCTCAATTAATATTAACGCGACGATACTGATGATACTTATGCAATTGTTTTTGGAATTGAAAGAAACAGATACGTGAATACCTAGGTAGAAGAATTTATTTTTCTCAAGTACAGATAATTTAGTAGAGGGTTAAAATTCTCGTATAAGATAGTGATGTTCCAGTAGCGATGATACAGGGTCGAAGGCAAAAGGTGGACAGAGTAGAGCAAAGAGAGCATCGTAGCGAGAGGAGCGGGTGAATTATGGCCGTCCCGACGCACTCGCCCGTTGGTCCTGGGCTCAATTTACAGATGATTCCGCGTGTTACCGCCTGGCCAACGGCTGGTTAACCTTCGTGCCAAACACTTAATCTTCCGGACGTGTCCCGCGCGCGACCAACGCGAATCCGTCCGCGACTTTCCACAGATAACGTGGATCCTGTTTGTAGACGGACGACACCGTGTAAACGGGTCGAGATAAATGGAAAGCGACGTGTATGGGTGGGCAATCGTCGGCCCTAGTGGCCCATAAACTTGCCCACCCTTCTCGATCCTATTGCCAGCCACGACCTTGCGTCGAGCCGAGCGTGCCACGGACCTCTGCCGCAGATTTATTGGTCCTCGATGGGCCGACAATAGCCAACAAGTTGCTGGAAAACGATCGCTGTCTTCCTCTTTCCACATGCCACTACTTGTCGCTTCTGTTCTTTAGAAGGGTGTTTTCATGATTAGGTTCATGAAAAATGATTTATAACAAAAATTGGGATACATCAAAGGTTGAAGTATGGTCTTCTATTTAAAAGTCAGAATTGCTGGAACATCACATGATACTTAATGCTAGAACGTATTATTAAATTGCTTCCGAGTAATTCAATTAGTACTCAACGTTACAGCCGCTTTACCGTGTAAAGCGCTAAAGAAACGAGCATATTTTGCAATTCGTTAATTACCGGAATGATATTGTGACACTGAGTCAATTACGATCAACACTGTCAATGTTTTATGTAGACGTGATAACCGAGTTATTGCCTACTTCATTTCCGGTTACACGATACAAGTCGCGTGTCTTAACAGGAAATTGCATCGGTCATCAGAAGGAGCTTTATTCGATGGCAATTTATTTCTTTGAGTTCTGTTCAAAATATGAACACGACACGAAGTTAAAAATATCGAGAAAATAAGGATTCAAATAGGAATCAGAACTTGGAGAAAATTTAACATAATGAAATCAGAAACATCCTCGGGATAGCCAAAGTGAAAGCCGGACATAAGAGGAAATTCGAAACCAGAACGAATGGTGAAAAGCCCTTCTGGTCAGGCGGAGACTCGAAATTCTCCAGGATCTCAATTCATCCCCGGAAGACAATAATTCATCGTGGTTGAAAGGGTTTCGGTGGGCCCGCATGTGTTGGCCATCGGTCTATCGATTGTCCGCGCTTCGCTCGCAACGATACATCATAATTTGCCGGCAAATGTTTACCAGAGGTTTGGGAAACGCGCGGTTTTCGCACGTGACGAGGCCCAGATGCTATGCTTCCTCGAGGAAAAGGAGTGGCTGCAAAGTGTCATTAGCCGTCGGCTGAACTCGGTTGGCATCGGGCACCCTGTGGTGAGCCACAATGTGTCGCTGGACAACCGATACGCTACCGTGGCCTAACTAACGCCATCAACGGACACCCTTGAATCCAAGAGCTCGCGTTAATTGACTCGAATACTCGTCTCACCCCCGCGGCGCTACGAGAGAAACCTTTGCACCGTACCAGCCCCTGAAGAATTATCGTGTGGGGTCTGCGGTGATGCGACTTACACGCTGAAGAATGATTACCGTCTGCACGTTGCTTTACGAATGGGGCATTCTCTGGACTCGATTGGTTTCCGGTTCGAGCTCTGTTGAAGGGGTTGCGAATGGAGATGGAACGATGTGTAATGGTCCATGAGGGTAATTAATGATTAAGGCATGGGTTTTTAGAGTCTTTGACTGTTGCTATTTTGTAGACTATTGGTCTGGAGGTTTCAGTACAATTTATTTTCAATTCCTTTTATAATAGTTATGCTATTTTCAACATTAGCATAGATTATATGTAGATATTTTAACAGCAATATTCTAGATTTTCAAAGTAAACAGCTCAGTTAGAATTCAACTTCTGAATTATCGCGCTAATTAACATTTATGCTGCTCATTTCTGAAGTCTTTGAAATTGCTATAGTCGAAGTTAAGAACTTTAACTTAACGACTTAATGACTTCATTTTTCATTTTATCTTTAGCCTCTTATCGCTAGCTATGCAAATCAACTAAAACATTAATGTTTACCAAATTTCGATCACTGAACCTTACCTTGCTGGTTACTCTTCCTCGTGGTCTTCTTCTCCTTCATCCACGGGTACTCGGGCACGTTGACAGACGGATCGGCGACACCGTGAGGGTCCATCATCGTATGGTAGCCAGGATGATGGGAGCCAGGACTGATGGATCCTCCGGTTCCCGGGGAATGTTGAAGACTACCGTCGCCAGTTATCTGCGGCAACGCGGTCATAAATTCGGCCATGGACGGTTGGCTGTTGATGAAGCCAGTCTCGGCGGATCCGCATGTTGGATCCATGGCTGGGTGATGGGTCCCGTGCGGGGGCAGCCCGGCTGGGGCACCTGCCCCCGCGGCCACTGTGGCCAGCCAGAAGCCACCCCCTCCGTCGTTCGCCAGGACGGGTGTCGTCGGCCTCGTCTTCACGCCCGCGACCTCCTTGCCGACGTGGACCAACGTCTCCAGGTGTCCCCCTGGTTGCTGCACGTTGCCCGAGCTACCCAGCTGTGCCGATTCTTCCGGATTCTGTTGATGTTGCGACAAGGCTTGTTGCTTGCCGCGCATGGAACGAGCTGGACACTCGTTCCTCTTCGATTAATCGCTATCACTGATCAATGGCAAATGGCAACGATTAGGTTCAATTGACTATTACACGGCATTTGCGTTTCCAGTCTCGAGGCAAATTACTCAAGTGAACTTTCAGTGTCTTCATAAGGAACTCGCGAACTCGGTTGCACCTTGCTCCGACGCATTACTCATATCTTGCACTCTAGTTACCATGTACATCACGAGTCGTACTTTTGGCCCATATCACAATTTCTACGGATTCCAGTCACCTAGCTCGTCGCGCGTCAGCAACGAGAGCTGGTTCACTCGATTCACCGGGTCATCTCAGGCCTACTGTTCACTGGAAGCGTAGCACGGCCACAAGAGGCAACGACGGCGCACAGCACACTCGTATCCCCGCGTACAACACACCCCGTTTAACGGGGAAACAGGGTATCGAGATGGAGCACAACGCGGAAGCACTTTCACACGATCCGTGCGTGGATCGATGGGACGCGCGCGAGATCGGCAGAGAGTGGCGGGCACCAGGATCGCGTACGCCGCGGCTACCAGAAGCCTTCCGATCGGCCGGAACCCAGGCAGGCAGGCAGGCAGGCTAGGCAGGCGAGCCAACGATCGCGGTGTACACTTGCCGAGTGACTAGGAGGAGGAGGAGGAGGTGGAGGAGGAGAAGGAGGAGGTGGAGGTGGTGGAGCATGATGGAGGAGCAGCGGAGACAAGAGCGAGAGAGAGGGGGGAAAGAAGTTGGATAGAGAGGGGGAAAGAAGGAAGCGAAGATCGAGGCTGGTGGTGGCAGAAACGGGGAACCAAGAGGTGCAGCAGGGGTAGAGAGAAAGAGGACAACGAAAAGACGGAGGACACGAGTCTTGCGATTGCCTCTGAAGAAGGAGAAGGAGAAGGAGAGAAGTAGAAAGAGAGCACTCGGTGACTTCCACTCGATGTCGGCACCCTGACGAATTCCAACGCGGTCTTTTTCGCTTCTCCAGTGTTCTCCGTGGCGTGTCTCTGTTGTTACTGCTGTCTCTTTTGCCGGCCGAGTAGGGGGTACCCGGTTAGGGTCCGAGTCGAAGCGTAGCGACGGTGCTCTTTCCGTGGAAGCAGCTTGCGGGAGAGTCACGTGACCGAGTGGTAGTAGAACGAGTGAACCAATGGGAGGACGGTATCGCGAGGACGGAGGCACGGCCCTCCGGCGTCGTAGGCGGGCTGGCTCGGCTGAATTTACTCGGAGGGATTCGGAGGGCTTCGGAGGGCACGCAACCAGCAGGGTACGAGGACGGAGCGGCTGCTCGCCGCGACAGTGCAGCCAGCCGACTCTCCTGTTTGCTGGCAGAGCACGAGGCCGACTTGGGCGGTCATGGATTCCGGCGCAACTGTGGGCGGGACGCGCGAGCGCGTCGCTTCCGAGGAAAGGCCACGTGGAGGGGAATTTCTCACGTGGTCGGCCACGAGGTACCACTTTCGTCGGGGGAACGAACGGCCGGGTAAAAGGTAAATCGCGATCTGCCGTCAGGATCGTGCATTTTCCAAGTGGCACAAATTCCTCGTCGCGATGGAATATCTTGTGTGCGATGGTGTTTTTTTAGCTGTGTTTCATATTTCAGTTTGGTGCCTTTATACTCACTTGTTTCCAAATTACATTTTAACCCTTTGATTGCATACTTCAAAGTGCCTAGCGCTAGTTGCTTACTGGTGATGAATAGTGTATATCGTTTTTCATTTTGTTTGTAAACGCAGTCAAAGGGTTAAATTGAAATATTTTCCTGCCATAGGTGGTCTGGTTTAGAAGTAACGAGACTTGGTATGGGTCAGAATAATGCATTTATATACGAGATGTGTCCTTCCTTGTCGTACACGTCAGGAGAATGTCTGCGTATTCACGATTACTCTATCGTACCATCGCAATAGTTTCATAGATACCGATAGCTCAAACAGATAGCTTGCTATAGGTAAATTGCTGTCATTTTTACTCGATATTGCCACAAGTCACGATATTGTTTACAAACGTGAACGGACAGCCATGCACAGTGAGAATCATTGCCTTCGTAATATTTAAAATTTAGCTTTTTGGTTATTTACCAGAGGGCAATGGCACGAGATGCGGTGGATGGGTATGGAACGTATCGACGCGACGTTTTCGCAACGGTTTTCGGGTATGCTGGGGGTGCCGGCTGGTGTCACGACGACTTGCCACGGGGCAGTTTTGATGACAGATTACCCTGATCCGCTTTGTGGAGAAGCTCTCATTTAGACAGCCGGTTTGATCGAAAAGTTCGGCACCGCTTTGACGGGCAAAAAATTCTTGCCACTACCCTCGTTGCAGCCCAGAATGTAGATGAACCGGGTGAAAGTTGCCTCCTTCTTCTTTTTTTACTTTGTTGCCGAACAGCTAGCATGCATTCAGATTGTAATTTCAGCAGAAACCTCGTCACAAACCAATAAGTCCTTAGACGAAGTAGGCGTCGCGGTGTCGTTTCGATAGCCGGTCAGAGTCGAAAATTTTCGATAGAGGAAGAAAGAAAGAAAGAAATAAAGGGAAAGAGAGGGTGAAAGAGGTAGTGGAAGGGCGGTAGCAGACTCGCAACGCGAACGAGGGCGCGGATGGTTGGCAGAGCAGAGAAAGAGAAGCTCGAGAGGGAGGAGAACAGCCGCCACATCTGCCGCCAGATTTAACTATACATTACAGACACACGATATGTCAAAGTCCTATACTTCATATCGACTCCGCCATTTATTAAAAGTTTCATCGCGCGCACGCCACCGTGCCGTTCCGCTTCGACCCCTTCTTTCTACCGAAAGAATATACGAAGGATGCTCGAAATATACGAACGAAAACTTCTTCCTGGAAGGAATATGTTGGAAAAGGGGTGGGAGGTGGTAGGGATGTCGTGCTCTTTGCGCCTTCAGGGACCAGTAACTATTTCTGATAGTGGTATGATTAAATAATTTCATCAATATTTTAACAACTTCTTTTTATTTCAAAGATATATACAACATGGAAGCTTCCTACCGCACTACTTTTCCATTTTCAACGTTCTTCAAAAATTTCCTCAACATCCAACAATCTCTTTTTTCCTCAAATCATACAATCTTCGCTCAAAGAAATTTCCTTTTTTTTTTGCAGCACCACGTGCTAGAATCTACGAGCGTTCTCGTCGTCGCTTATCTTATCTCGGGCAAGCTTAATACTAGAAAAATGGGATTCCACCGAGGTCCCTTTTTACCTCGACGATACTGGAATTTCTGTCTGTCAGTTCTCTCCGTTTTCTCCGGCTGCCACCGATTGCGAAATGAAGTTTTATATTAAGCTTCGACTCTCCTCTATCCTTCTCCGTGCTCGCTTCTTCCGCCTTCTCCCCTCTTCCAACCCCTCTCATCGTTCGTTTTTTTGTCGACGCCCTCCTCCGATCCTCCTCAACCACCCTCCCCGTGCAACCCCTTATATATTTACGTACCGATAGATCGTTATGTCGGCGTTTGCATATATATTGACATCGCCACCCCTCCTTCCCTCGGAAGATGCCTAATATATAGGCTATCCAGTAGTATCAAAAGACTCGTGTATGTAGCTTGTCCAACTACTTTCTTTTCAATTCGTTCAAGACCTGTTTTACACCCTCGGGATTTTATGTTATCCTTTTTTGCGAATATGGATCTTTTTCAGTCTTCAGATTTTTATTTAAGTCCTCTGAGCCAGTAGATATTTAAATTATTTTAACTTTCAAGAGTCTTTGACCAAAGACAGTTCTCTCACTATTGAAAAAAGAAAAAAAAGAAAAGTACCAGAGCAGACATACATATCCGCCATTAAAAATAAACCATCTTTCGTCGCCATTTTAGCATGACAAGGTCTGCGAGCGGGGTTCGATCTGTCAATCACCGGATCACCGAAACGAGTCTCCGTAGTTCGCTTGCCACAAGGGAGGCTTTCTCCCTTCGTTCACGAAACACGACTCCCCGCCAGACCCTTCTCTCAACTTTTTCTCCTTCGACGTCCAAGCTGAAGGCGAACTCGTTAAAGACTCCAAATAAAATTGTCCCTTTCCCCCTACAGTTGCCCACTGTTCGCAGGAAACATTCAAATCGCTTTCCGTGTCTAAACTTTGGGGTTTGTCATCCCTCTTCGTCTAAATCTACCCCTATTCATGTGTTTTAATTGTTCGACTCAGACGATGATTTCTTTTTTCCTTTTTCTTTGGGTAATTAAGTATTTTAAGTATTAGGCATTTTTCTCTGATAAGTCAGAAGCATTTGTAGCATAGATCGAAAAGAGAGGAAAATTGGTGATGGAAGGATGAGGATTGAAAGCAGAAAGGTAGAGGAGAGGCTCGGTTGAACGGGAGTGGCAGTTCTTGCGATTAGCGAGCGACTAGGGGGATGCTCGGAGTCTGAGGTTTTAATTAAGCATTCACTGCGGATGATATCGCATGCCTCTTTATACTTCATAGCAGCCAGATGTTGCTACGAGGACCTTCCTTGCCTTAGGTCCTACGAGCTACGCCACAGCTCAACGGAAGGAACGTCGCTATTTCGTTTTAATTATGCATGTTTAATTTGCTTATATCCTGTGCGCCGCTGATACGCGCCTCGACTAGACGTTTCTGGCTGGGCCACTCGTTGCTGTGTAACAGATTTCCATTTCGAGATTTCTTGCAAATACTTGGTCAGGTGATATCTTTAGAATTCAGTCGTAAACCAATATACAACTTTTTATGTCATCATAGCTTATAAATGAACCTAGGTACTTGCAACGTCAATAAAATGAACAAAATTTACTATTATTTTGCTTAAGTACACTTGGTCGAACCCTCGTTCATCAGTTTTCACTTTATACCTGAGCCTTAATCCTGTCGAAACACAATAAACAGGATTTGCTCGCCAACTTTGCCAGCTGATGACCTATCCACCGCTTAATCGAGCTTTTTCCAGCAATCGTCTGATCGTTTTTACGTTTTGAGAGCGGCACTTCTCTCTTTCGGAACCTTTTCTCCGGTTGACTG